TTGGCCAGCAGGAGAGGCTTCCCTGCTCCAGCAAGGATCTGAGCAGCGACCTGAGGGGTCCCAGCTCGGCTTCCAGCTCCTCCAGTCAGAGACCAGGAAGCTCGACGTGAGGCCGGGGCTCCAGGAAGGTCAAGACCCCTAGCAGCATGGAGCAGTACTAGCCCTGGTGGCTGTGTAGCAGCATTTCTGCCTACGATGTGGGAGATCCAAGTTCAAGTCCCTGAGCTAACAAGGAGGAATTCCTCTTGCAGTGGAAAGGGACTATTGTGTTTTCCCCCTTCCAGTTACCTAGGCCCTATATTTCCTTGTCCTTTGACATTTTGTATTTTGTACCTTTTTATATTTCCCCAACCAGTATTGTTTGCTCTGCTGTTTGTGTTTTGTATTTTGTTAACCCTGTCTTTTGTCAATGATTGTAAGTGTCTAACCTTTGTTGAATCCTGCCCCCTTGGGGCATTGTAGTGTGCACTATACCCCCTGATTATGCCTGTTATGTTCCCAGTATTGTTCCCTCATTAAAAGGTCTATGGTTAAGTCCCCAGTGGTGGTCTGGCTCTGCTCTATAGGGGGAGGAGAGTCCCTACACCTCCCACAGCACTTGTGTACCTGCTTTGATCCCTTCAATTGGAGAGGGGGTACCTTTTGGAGTACCGCCTGGGTTACAAGGTTCCTTGGATGAATTTGATATCTTTTATTAGACCAACTCAAATGGTTGGAGAATAGTTATTAAGTAAGCTTTCAGGTTCAAAAACCCTTCGTTAGGCTAAGGAAGCTGCAGCAGTTGGTGTGTGCTTTTCCTGGATGGAATGAAAAGCCTGGGTTACATTAGTTTGTCGTTGTAGGTGTTAATCCTTGCTCATTAACTCGTTATGGTAGCTAGCTACCATGTTACACAATCAATAATAATTCACTCAGGGACCAGCTCTATACAGGGAGGTGGCAATGTGATTCCTGCCCTTGCTAACATCATTATATGGTACAACTTACTTTTAAGCATAAAGTACATTTGTTACAAAGTTAAAAAGCATAAAATATAAAAGGGTGAAATGCCATGGCACATATAACAAATAGACCTAATATAATGAGGGGAAGACATACCGATGCAGAATACTATTTTACACCCATAAAAGCACCTACAAAATATATTTTTTAATTAAAGAACACCCTATATTGTATTTAAAAATAATAAAAGAAGAAAAGAGGGGAAGGAAGAAAAGGTGGAAAAGAGAAATATCCCTAAAAGGGGACAAATACTGCAAAAGGGGGTTTTGCCATATGGAGGAGCTTCAGATTGGAGTCAGGGGGCAGGCAAAAAAAGAGGAAGTTTCTTGCTACAGTAGTACAGTGGGAATAGGGGGCTATCAGTTGGTAGCTTGGCATGGCCAAACTCTGCTTTCATCCAGGCAAGTCTCTGGTCATAGATGTCCATGAGAATCTCCTGGTGGCAAAGAGCCATGGAGTGAGGTGTCCCAAGAAGGATTTCTAGGTATAATCCCAGCCCAAAATCCAGTCCCTTATTTGGGTCCATATTCTTAGTACAGTAGCTGGGGTGCTGTCAGTTGGCAGCCTGGCACGGGCAAACCACGCTTTGGGCCGGGCAAGTCTCTGGTCAGTGATGTACAGTACTGTCCCCCCGTGGCACAGAGGTATGTCATGGAGTGGTCCAGAAAGGATTTCTGAGTATAATCCCAGGCAAAAACCAGTTCCTTATTCAAGCCTATGCATTTAATACAGTGGGAATAGGGGGCTGTCAGTTGGCAGCCTGGCACGGCCATACCACGCTTAGGGCTGGGCAAGATTCTTGTCAGAGATGTCCAGGAAAGTGCCCTGGTGCCACAGAGTCATGGTGTAAAGTGGCCAAGAAGCATTTCCATCTCTAATCTCAGCCCAGAAACCAGTTCCTAATTCAAGACCATATAGTTAGCGCAGTGGGGTGCTGTCAATTGGCAGCCTGGCAGAGCCAAACAGTGCTTTGGGTTGGGCAAGTCTCTGGTCAGAGACATTTAGGAGAGTTCCCCTGTGGCACATAGCTATGCCATGGGGTGGTCCAAGGAGGATTTCTAGCTATAATCCCAGCCCAGATGTGAGTTCCTTATTCGGATCTGGATACTTAGCACAGTGTCTGTGGGGGGTGGCGTCAGTAGGCAGCCTGGCACAGCCAAACCATGCCTTTGGCCTGGGAAGTTTGTGGTCAGAGATGTCCAGCACAGTCCCCTGGTGCCACAGTGGCATGGCATGGGGTGGCCTACGAAGGATTTGTAGCTATAATCCCAGACCAAAATCCAGTTCCTTATTTGGGTCTATATATTTAGCACAGAGGCTGGGGTGCTTTCTGTTGGCAGCTTGGCACGGCCATACTGCATTTTGGGCTGGGCAAGTCTCTGGTCAGAGAGATTCCCCCGGTGGCACAGAGGTGTGATCTGGGGTAGCCCAAGAAGGGTTTCTGGGTATAATCCCAGTGCAAAATCCAGCTCCTTATTCGGGTCCAGATACTTAGCACAGTGTCCAAGACACACTTCAGGCTGGGCAGTTGTGTGGTCAGAGATGTCCAGGAGAGTCCCCCGGTGTTACAGAGACATGGTCTGGGGTGGCACAAGAAGTATTTGTAGCTTTAATCCCAGCTCAAAATCCAGTTCCTTATTCAGTTTCATATACTTAGTAGGGCTGTGCAAAACAGCACTGTTCCATTTCACTTGAGGTTCGAGGTTTCAACGGAACAGTGTTTCATATCGAATTTCATTTCAATTCAAAACAGTTGTTCTGTTTTGCTTCATCAAAACAGTAAGGCTGTTTTGACTCTGTTTCGACATTTCGCTAGATCTGCCGGGGACGGGAAGTCAGCCCAGCTAGGACTCCTCGCCCCCAGCCTGATCTAGTGTGGGATTTGGAGAGTCAGCCCAGTTGGGCTGACTTCCCATCCCCAGCCGTATCTTGCGCCAGGGATGGGAAGTCAGCCGAGCTGGACTGACTTTCCATCCCCAGCACTACGGTCAAAACGTTTCAACTTTCGAAACGTTTCAACTAGCCTTGTTTTGTTTCAAGGCTGTTTTGATGCCCTTTGTTTCATTTCAATTTTACTGTTTTAACCTTGAAATGAGTCGAAACAGTGTTGAAATTAAATGGCCGGAGAAATTTCACACATCCCTAATACTTAGCACAGTGGCTGGGGTGCTGTCGTTTGGCAGCCTGGCACAGCCAAACCAGGCAAATTTCCGGTCAGAGATGCCCATGAGTGCCCCCTGGTGGCACAGACACGTAGTCTTGGGTGACTCAAGTGGATTTCTGGGTATAATTCCAGCCCAAATTCCAGGTCCTTATTCAGGTCCATATTCTTAGCACAGTGGCTGGGGTGCTGGCACCCTGGCTCAGCCAAACCATGTTTTGGCCTGGACAAGTTTCTGGTCAGAGATGTCCAGGAGAGTTCCCTGGTGACACAGAGGTGTGCTACAGGATAGCCCATAAGGGGTTTCTAGCTATAATCCCAGCCCAAAACCAATTCCTTATTCAAGCCTAGGCAGACAAGGTTCCTTGGGTGAATCTGATACCTTTTGTTAGACCAAGTTGGTCTAATAAAAGATATCAGATTCACCCAAGGAACCTTGTCTGCCTATGTCCTTAGACCAACATGGCTACAACCTACACCCTTATTCAAGCCTATGCACTTAGTACAGTGGTTAATGGGGTGCTATCAGTTGGCAGCCTGGCAAACCGCACTTTGGGCCAGGCAAGTCTCTGGTCCAGGACAGTGCCCCAGTGCTACAGAGGCATGTCGTGTAGTGGCCTAATAAGGATTTGTAGGTATAATCCCAGCCCAAAATCCAGTTCCTTATCCAGGTCCAGATATTTAGCACAGTGGCTGGCGCGCTGGCAGTTGGCAGCCTGGCATGTCCAAGCTGCACTTCGGGACGGGCAAGTCTACCCTCAGTGATGTGTAGCAGAGTCCCTCAGTGCCACAGAGGCATGTCATGGGGTGGTCCAAGAAGGATTTGTGGGTATAATCGCAGCCCAAAATCCAGTTCCTTATTCAGTTCCATATACTTATCACACTGGCTGGGCTGCTGTTGGCAGCCTAGCATGGTCAAACGGTGCTTTGGGCCAGGCAAGTCTCTTGTCAGAGATGTCCAGGAGTGTCCCCTGGTGCCACAGAGCCATGGCATGGGGTGGCCCAAGAAGGATTTCTAGCTATCATCCCAGCCCAAATTCCAGTTTTTTATTTGGGCCCATGTATTTAGCACAGACTGGGGTGCTGTCAGTTGGCAGCCTGACGCAGCCAAACTGTGCTTTGGGCTGGGCAAGAGTCTGGTCAGATGCATCTGGTAGAGTCCCTCGGTTGCACAGAGGTATTCTGATGGGTGGCCCAAGCAGATTTTCTAGCCATAATCCCAGGCCAAAAACCAGGTCCTTATTCAGGCCATTATACTTAGCACAGCGGGCATGGGGGCTGTCATTTGGCAACCAGGCATGGCCAAACCGTGGGGACCACAGCCGGGTCTGGGTTCTTTGGGACAGTCCCCCAGTGCCACTGACAAGAAGTCTGGAGCGGCCCAAGAAGTATTTTGCCCCATAATCCCAGCCTAATCTGACCTTCATTTAGGGCTCTGTACTTGATGTGGGATATTATTTTACATGTTCATTAGTACATATGCATAGCTAATGAAATTCTCTCTCTTTAGGATGTGTAATTCAGTAACAACAGGCTTTTACTGAGTCTAGATTAGCTTTGAAAAAAGAACCGGGGATATGGAATAAGGAACTGGGAATAAGGAACAGGGAACCGGGACTAAGCAACCAATTTCGGCCTCATCCCACCCGCCCCTCCCCCTCAGAGACCAGAAACCACAGGAAAAAGACAGACCCCCTCCCCCCAACTCAAGGTAAATTAACATTGGCAATTAGCACCACTGGCAGGACTCAGTCGGAGCGCAGGCTCTCAGCCAAGGGCTCCCACAGCAGCCCCTGTCCCCAACTAAGCCGGGGCCTTCATGCCCCGCGAGAGGGAGGACCCCCTGAGCGGCACGAACGCGCCCCGCCAGCAGCGAAAACCCAGCGGGGGCAGACGAAGAAAACCCGGGGAAGGACAAAGCCCAGGATCACTGCGCACGCGCACGCC